TATCTATTTTTCTCATTTAACCACAAGTCTATTAGTTTGCTTATATTTTTTTATTGACTTGAGGAAGCTCTTGGTATATTAAAGAGACTACCTTTTATCTTTTAAAAATGTTTATATTTTCTGACATGTTACTTTACTTTTTTATCTTTCTTATATGATTCAGTCTCATTCTTTATACTTAAATTTCTAATGCTTTTGACACTTTGTGCTATCTTTACTGCTTTGAAAATTTCCACAGTTCTACAGTTCATTTTTTTTTAACAAGTGATAAAGGATAAATAATAGTGTAATATTTTAATTGAAAGGTCCCCATCCCCTCTTTTTTTTATTATTTAACAATGAATAATATCATTAACAAACAGTATTTTTGGAAGAAACATTAAGAGAAATAAAAGGCATTTTATTTTCTGCATAAGCATAAAAGAGATAACTAGAGTAGGTAGGGTTCAGGCTGCAGGGAAAATTAAGCTCTAATGTAATAAAGAATTAACTATTCATTTTTATTTAAGCTGACCCTTGATCATCTATATACCTCCTATTAATAGTACTTTAAAATTGAAAAATAACTTAAGTGACTCCTACATTTATAGTATCTTTTCATTTAAAAAAAAAAAAGTGGTTTTAACTTTTCTATAGTCAATTTGCCAGTTATTTCCACTATGACCCAATACTTAAAGTGTTAATTACGAAGGCCTAAGAAAGCCCTAAGCCATCCCTGACCAGTGTGGTTCAGTGGGTTGGGCATTGTCCCAAAAACCCAAAGGTTGCCAGTTCAATTCCCAGTCAGAGCACATGCCTGGGTGGTAGGCCAGGTCTCAGATGGGGACTTGGGAGAGGCAACCAATTGACATTTCTTTCTCATATTGATGTTTCTCTCTCTTTCTCCATCCCTTCCCCTCTCTCTGTAAATAAATAAATAAATAAATAAAAACATTTAAAAGGAAGAAAGAAAGACCTGGCCAGGTAGCTCAGTTGCTTAGAGCTTTGTTCCAATGCACCAAGGTTGTGGGTTTGATCCCTGGTCAGGGCACATACAAGAATCAACCAATGAAAGCATCAATAAGTGGAACAGCAGATCCACCCCTTCCTCTTTCTCCCCTCCCCCTTTTTCTCTCTAAAAATCAATAAATTTAAAAATATATATTAAAATATTTTTTAAAAGAAGGCCTGAGAAAACAGAGCTTCTCTGGTTTGTGAGACCTGAAGGGTATGTACATACTTTATTGTACAATGACATACTAGAAGGTGGGGGAGGACAGTCAACATTTTTGTAAAACTTTATGTAATGAAATCTAGGAGAAATTGAATTACCAAAAATGGAGGGTCTTTTAAGAATTAAATAACATTTAAATTAAAGATCATCTGTCTTTAGAATTTATCTGGAATTTATGATAAAATGTTGGCTCTGGCTCTAGCTGGTGTGGTTCAATGGATTGAGGAGGAGCCTGCAAACCAGGGGGTCGCTGGTTCGGTTCCCGGTCTAGGGCGCATGCCTGGCTTGCGGGCCGGGTCCTCAGCAGAGGGGCACACAAAATGCACAAATGCATACATTGATGTTTCTCTTCCTCTCTCCCTCTTTTCTCCTCTCTAAAAATAAATAAATAAAACCTTTTAAAAATATGTTGGCTCTAATTTAATTTTTTATTTTTTCCAATTGTAGTACCAGTATACACTTATCTACTCCCACATCAATACCACACTGTTTTAAAATATATGGCACTAGAGTATCCCAGTTCTATCATTCCCTGGCCATGAGACTTTTGCAGATTCCTGTACGCCTCAGCTTCCATTTTGCACTATTGTTTTAAGAATTAAGTATAGACAAGATTTAAGTAAGTAAATTGTTCAGCCCCATGCCTCACACAAAAATAGGCATTCACAAATAACTGTTATTAATACTATCATAAAGTGTGATGAAATTAGACTATAGGCAAAAATTAATGATGTTACTAGTTATTTTTAAAATACAACAAGCCCTGGTTTTATTTTATTTTCCATGTATTCAAGCTCCAAGGTGACATGTGGGGAGGTCATTCAGATTACTGTTCATTCGGATATTCTGTTCTCCTGGGCTAATAATGTGAAGAGTGGAAGGACCAGAGAAACTTATAGAAATTTCTTTAGAAAGGGAGCTGGGGTTAAGTAACAAAGAGGAAGAAGTCAGGCTTCACTTAGATTCCCACAGGAAGGAGCTAAAAGCTTGTTGTTCACAGTTGCTTAGCAACATATATAAATGCTCAAGAAAGAATGAAAGTCAAGGCATAGCAAAATCAAGCAAATTTTACTCTCACTTACCCATTTATTATTTCCACATTGTGCACAAGTCAAAGAAAAACAGGATATAAGTTTGACCTCCAGAAATTAGCCAAACAGTGAAGAGAATGCAAATTGAGCATAAGCACTAAAATGTAGTAGGTAGACAAATACACAGACAATAGGACATGTGCTCACAGCTGGGTTCCAGGTGCAATAGAATCATTCTGTTCAATGTAGCAAGAATTGTATTTATTAGCACTTCTGGGAGCACATGGAAGACTATGAGGCAGCCCATGCCTTCAGAAACTTTAAAATCTACTGGGGAGAATAAAACCAGCATACAGATCATTCCACCACAAAGCAGAATTCATGTCACAACTAAGCAACATCCATCTATATGTCCTCAAACGTAGGTGACGGCAAAGCTTGGCGGGGGAGGGGGCACAAAGCAAAGCTCCCTGAAGAGAAGCCATACAAATTAACCTGTAAAAGATAAAGGGGTTGGGCAGGGGAAGAATTAAACAGGATTTTAACAGATGTGAGGGTTAAGAGCACACATCAGCATGTCAGAGGAAAAACTCCAGAACAATAATACAAATTCTGTTGCAAAATAGGATTCTGCTAGAATGGCAGCAGTGAGAGATGCAATTATTGCCATGTTTTGGAGGTCCTTGATGCCAAGTTTAGGGACCATGCTTTATTTGATAAGCACTGGCAAGTGATGAGGTGTGGGTGAAATAGTCAGAGTCATGCCTTCGGAAGATTCATCTAATGATGGTAGTTTTAGGGGTGGGAGAGAAGAGTGTAATGGAGCAAGTGATGAAGAAGTTTAAGCAGAGAGATGGACAGTCTAATCTAAAATAGGACCCACAGGAATGGGACGAAAAGGACAGATAACAGGCATATGAAACTGAAGACAAGTTGCTGATTAGGTAGAAAGTCTCAGCATAGAGTGGGGAGTGAAAACTGGCTCAAGAGGTTGGAAGCCTGCTTCACTGGATATCAAGAACAGAAAAAACAGACTCGACTGAGTGGTGGAGGGGCTGGTGGGGGGAAAGGAAGAGGAGCAGGAGGAGAAGGACAGACGTTTTACACCTGCTGAGTTTGAAGTGCTCACTGGCACCACCATGGTGCAGACTCCCAACAACAGGAAGAAAACACAGGTTTAGAGTTTTGAGGAAGGTCAAGGCTTTGGTAATTATTCACATGAAGGCAAATCTACTCACATAGGCGTAAACCCCAAGGGACAGTAGCAGATTAACCTCAAAGACAAAAGAGGGCTGGCTACAAGATCCCCAGCAAGAGGATGAGGGAGTGGGAGGGGGAGACAGGAGCACAGCAGGCGGAGAAGAGACCCCAGTGCAGCTTCGCAGGAGCCAAGAGGAGGAAGCCGCTCAGGAAGTCACGCAGGTGGGCAAGTACAGGTGGTGTTTACTTTCCTTCTCTAAATATCTCCTACCAACATCAGATACTACTTTTGTAAAAATATTTGTAACCTGTTTGGTTTTTTGAAAGAAATAATTTTTTATCAAGAGGCACAAATACAACAGAGACATAGAAAGATGAGGGTGGAGGATATCACAGGGAGGGACCAGGAACTTGGGAGTGTCCTTTAGAAACACATGTCAACAGAATGGGGAGCAGAAAGAGGACTGTATGGAGCTCCAGGGTGGGGTGGAGGTGGGGGCACCTTTGGCAAGTGACTAATTAGCAGGACTATCTATCTATCACTTGAGAGGGTTAGAAAGCCAAGTGGATTTTTCCCCCCCAGGAAAAACATTAAGAGGTACCTTTGCTGAAGAAGGGAAGGACAATAAAGAGGGAAAGGTTGAAGATTCAGATAGAAGTGGCTTTTTGAGTGGGGACCGGAAAGTGAACCTCAAAAAGTCAAAAGCAGGGTGTGTCTCCTAGTGCAGAGGCACGGGGGAGGGAAAAGAGAAAATACGGCTGAGAGATTTTAAAGCCAATAGAGGAAGTGTAGGGAGAAGGCCTTTGAGAAGGCCTGCCTGGGCTCTCTTTCTTCTTAAACCTCAACGGTCACAGAGATGTGGAGAAAACTCTCCATGTCAAAATCTCAGTAGGTCCCAATGGCAACATAAAAGAACCCACATCTGGATCCATGACCTTAACATTGACAAAACCAGCTAACAGAATGGGCTGTTGAGAACATGAATATATAAACCATAAAGCCCAGGTAACACTCACTGCCACACACACGAGCACACATGCATGAATTCCACCACACTCTGTGAAGGGAATTTGGACTTCAGGCCACTCTTGCACAGAAGGACAGAGAACTTCACTGCAGGAGACGGCTGGAAAACAGTTAAATGAAAAAAAAAAGGAAAGATGATTTAAAGCATGAAGCCAGAAGACAGCTGAAGTTCCAAAAAATCCTCTCTCATCTGACTCAACAGATAAACATCGCAGGATGTGTCAGGATCCTTGCATCTGGTTTTCAAAGGGATAATTTTAAACACCAAGAGACAGATCACAGGGAAAGTAGAAGTTTCCTGATTCTTAGCCACATCAAGTCCCACAGGGAACACAGCTGTACCAGCTACACACCTGCTGAGTGGAAATCAGTGACGCTAGCCCCCTTTTCAGGACCCTCAACCTCACCTTGGCATTCCTATTGCATTGAAGTTATTCTCCTCATCGTGCAATGTGGCAAAGAGGCTGAAAGAAGCAGTGTCCCCATGCCTCCTACATCTGAGTCTCTGAGGGTTTTCATCTGTTACAACTCAAGATGCTCCACAGCTTAAGGAGCAGCCCCTCTCCAGCGCAGCCCTCAGCTTGGGGTAGCTCACCAGTAGAATGATGGGGTGGACCGCTGTGCACAAGTAAATCACCACCTTCCACTTAAATTCCTGAGATGGGAAAATACCTGCAGCGTTTAGCACCAGCGACAGAAAAGCGGAGGTGAAGAGAATGACAAAGTAGATGAGGACGAGAAAAGCCTTGATGTGCGTCTGAGCACCAGGGTCAGGAGAGCTTGAGATGGACAGGAAGGTCTTCCTGGCATGTCTTCCAAAAGACATGATGAGCAAAACCATGCCAGAGAGGAAGACAATGGTAGGAACTGTTCAGGTAACAATTTTTAGAGGAAAGAAGTAGAATTTCTCATAGATTCTCCTCCCAGTATCCCCAGTGACGTTCTGAGACTGCAGACCTTTCCTTAAATAATTCTGATATATGCTTTGGTTGCCTATGAAGAAAAAGATGGTGCTCAAGCTAGAGAACCCCACCGAGCTGAGCAGCATCCATGGAACCAGCCCAGACACCTTCCGCTTGAGCCAGAGGAAAACCGGGTGAGTGAGCGTTGCAATCTTCACGCAATAGAAGACACTGAGCCAGCTGGAAAACCAGAAGGTGGCAGTGTTTAAGAAGTCCCACTGGAAAGCTAGGAACTGGAATACAGGGTTGTACGCGGAGGCCTTTGGGTACAGGAAAATATAAATTCTCTCACTGATCACCACCCACTGCAGATAGAAGCGGGAGGCCACCAGGCTGATCAGTAACTTATCACAAGACAACAGTGATCTCTGTAGCAACCACTGCATGCCCAGGGCTGCAATGATGAAGCTGTTGCTCACCACGGCCACCAGGCACAGAAGGTATAAAATGCTATCCAAGATGATGGCTCTCTCATCCATCACCGGAAGTCCTACAACCATGTTCCCATGCATCTCTTCTGTGGACCAGATGGATGTCAAGCCTTCAAGGCCGATTCCTGTTGGGTTGCTCTGAAAGGTCCTGGATGACCGGTGTCTCTCCAGCTGCCCTAAATGCAGAGGACAGGGTAGGGGAAGCGGGCTACCTGAGGAGGGTGAAGGGTTCTTCTCAGAATCGATGCAAATATTGTTCAGGCTCGGTGTTGAAAGTCCTTCTGCCTGCCCACGAATTTGCCTGCCCTTTCTCTGCCAGTTTTCTGCCCATGTCAACACTGATGTGGATAATATATCAGGCCCTCCCATTTAGCGTCTCTTACACAGCAATTGATACTTCTCAAAGCTGACACCTAAGTCATGATCATCCATCTGCTGGCAGCCTGTGAGGAAATCCACAGGGTGCGTCCCTACAGACACCATATATAAATCTCTGCATACGCATAATAACTAAGGTGCTGCTAACAACTGTTATCATAATGACTATTTTTCATTCTATCTAGCCTGTAAAGTCAAAAGTAGTCCAAGGAGAATCCAGGAGAGCATTATGGATGCACTACGGGTCCAGTGAACCAAATATTAGACCAGCCACTTCAGCTAAAGGAAGGCAGAGTAAGCAAAGGCCACACTTTCTATAGGAATGAGTTCAAAAAGTAATAAACAAACAAGGCAATCAATCAATTAGCAATCAAGTGAGTGCTTACTTACCCAGGTGAGAGTAAGCCAGTTAATGTGTTGCAGAAATTATTCTGAGTGAACTACAGCAATATTGAACACTCCAGAGCAAGCAACATAAGAGTGAGGGAGTATTTCATAGCACATTCACCTTCTGACTAACATCGTATTTTACCAGTTCCACGCATAGGACCCCACAAAGAGAAAAGAGTGCAGAACACTCAGCATCTCTCTCCAGTTCCCAGTCCACCCAGGAGAAAGGTCCAGGTGGGATTGTTCCTTAGTGAACACTGCGTTCCTGGGACAAGGAAAGGAGATGAAGTAAGGTAACTCATTCACTCTGCCTGCCTTGATGCAAATCTCCAGGGAATAGAGTTCCCAACTGCTCTCTCCTCTGCCGTTGTTCCTATAGATGACATCTGGCTGTTTTCTGCTGGAATGAGGAACAATAAGGCAAGCTCTGGGCTCCTAGCTGTAGAATTTGGCCAGCCACAAAATCTTCAATATGGAAAACTCATCTGCTCCCATCCACCTTCTACATCTTGATTGGCTCATACAATGGGAAAAATATGCAAATAATCCTCCATTCATTTAAAAACAATGAAACATTTCTTGTATGTGATAATGACCCTGTGAAAGGCATTAGGGCGGCAACAACGAACTAGGTATCTGCCCTCACAGTGCTTTCATGCACTAATCATAAACCACAGACATCTCCTGGACATATACAGATTAAGTTAATCCCAAAGGGGAAATAATCATTTGTATTCAAAATATACATTGTGTCCTGGCTGTGTGGCTCAAGTAGATTGAGCACTGGCCTAAGGACTGAAAGGTCACTTTCAGGAATCATGGTTTGATTCCTGGTCAGGGCACATGCCCGGGTTGCATGCCAGGTCCCCAGTTGGGGGCGTGAGAGGGGCAATGGATCACTGTTTCTCTCATACATCATGTTTCTCACCCTCTCTTTCTCCCTCCTTTCCCTTCTCTCTCAAAATAAATAAGATCTTTTAAAAAAAATATGCATTTTGTTTTATGGCAATTTCTTTTGTTTGTGCTTTTTGTTTGTTGCATTTTGCTTTCTCATATTCAGATTTATCTTAAGTGGAAGCCAAGTCTGAGAATGTAAAAATTCTCACAGTTAATCTTTCTAAGTGAAACCATGAGTGATAGAGACAGGAATCCTAATAGGTTCTCCATATGGGAAATCCCTCAACTCAGTACTCTCCGTCTCAGAGGGACTGAAAAACGGGAGGATTCTAAATGCCTGTGGTTCTAAAAGTCACGTGTCACCCTTTTCCCATCCTAAGAATTCTCAGAAGAGTTCAGCAGCAGCCCCTCATGGTGGGACAACAAAGATGTCTTGTATATTGGAAGGAAGGAGGCATGGCATCAGTTGTGAAGACGTGGTTATTGTCAAGGGAACAAGATGAGTTTGGCTACAGCAGAGGAGTTACATACAGGCTGACAAAGTAGGCTGGGGAAAAAAATCACTGAAAGCCTTGTAAGTCAGGATGAGATACTGGGTTGCAATGGGTGAAGATGGAGCCACCAAACATTTTTGGACTGTTGTGAGTTACAGCCTAGAAAGGGAGGCTGAGACCATCAACCAATTAAGACTCCTGAGATAAGCCTCTGGACTTGGCGTAACTCACAGGACTGCAGAAACAGTACAGAACATGAGTGCCCCGCCAGCACCTCCTTCCCACCCAAGACACCCAGTAAAGTTCTGGAACTCTGCACAAGGCAAAGATGGTCTCCAAGGGACACACGGCTGAGTAGAAGGGACAAGAGACAGACACCCCTGATGCTCCTGCTTTTGCTGCCTCCACCCAACCCTCCTGTGGCTTGAGCCTCAAGGCTTGGTCCCCACAATTTATTATTGCCCTCCATGTTGGAAGGTATCAGTGCACTCAGGTTGCTACGAAGGAGGAGGAGGAGAAAAGGAAAGAAGGAAGAAAGGAAGGGAGGGAGGGAGGAAGAGAAAGAGAGAGAGAGAAAGGAAAGGAATAGGAAAAGGAAAAGAAAAGACGCCTCATGAACCAGCTTCCCACAGATTCCTCCATCCAGCTTCACCCTCTCTCTGCTTTCTAGGAACCCCCTGCTCCTCTCCAGCAATTTGGAAATCTCTTTTAAAGCCTTACTCATCTTTTTTCCAGACGAAAATTCTTCACCCTGTTACTTCATCTCTGCCCTTCTTTCTCTCTCGACTTGCCACAACTCAGCCTCCAGCTAGCGTTATAACATAACGTAGTGGAGCCTCAGCCTCCCGAGAATATTAGACAATGCAGTTGTTTATTTGAGAATTCCTTGTAACCTCTATTCTGCTCTGTTACTTATTCCTTTTATTTTGACTAGCTCAAATATATAAATCTCTCTTAACCATGACTGGTGCTTTTCTCAATCTCTTCTAGTCTGTTGGTCTCCGCACTTTCTTTATAGTGAACTCCACCAGTAAAAACAAAACAAAAAAAATAATTATGAACATGCATCCCATCATATGTATTTTTATGTATGTACTACTTTACTAATACATTACATACATCATAAAACATACATACAAATAGGAGTTAGAAGGATAAGATAAAAATAAATGGAGATTGAAGATGCCACACTTTTCCTCTTACAGCCAATGGGTCATTTTTCACATACATTCTGGGGTGCAAACACCCCAACTTGGAGACAACTATCCTACACATCGGTGTTGAGGGTCCACCTCCTGGGTGAGCAGGCAGGAAGAGCAGGATTGTCAAACCTAAGAACTGCGGCAAATTTTCTTTGTTTTCCTTCTCTATCATCTGTTGGCCAAAAGCTAAAAACACTTCCACATCAGACAACTCCTTTTAATTCAATATATAGCAAACACACGAAATCATGGACAGGACCTATATATACTGACACACAATGCAAATACACCCTCAGCCTTTGCGGGGATCAAACTGGAAAAGCTCCATTGATGGAATCAGGATTAGCAGGGCACAAAAGAAGAGGGGGAATAGCAAAGAATGGCAGAGAAGGGAAAGAGCACTCCAGATGGGCCAACCACCACAGGCCAGAGGGAAGACGACGTGGGGAGATGAGGAGCAGCTCTGCTGGGCTGAGGCAGAGAGACTGAGCCTGGAGCACAGCAATGATGAGCAGGGAAGTTAACATGTGGGACAATCTGTGTGACCATTAAAAAAAAGAAACACTCCAGTTTGACCACAGAGGCAACTTACATGCATTACAGCTTTTTGTAAAGGGCTTATGGACCAAATTGATGCTTGGAGAACATTATTAGGGTTGTTCACATACAGAATAACAGAGGCCTATGAGGAAATGAGGCCACCATCCTAGTGCAATGTGGTTTGGGAGCCAGACCAGGGACCCAGGAGCAGTGGATGGAAAGGTGGGAGCAGAGAAGGATGGGAAAAAGATCCATGGAACGTGGAGGGAGTGGGAAAGATAGAAGGAAATGAAAAGAGAGGATGGCACCCAAACCTTGTGCATTTTTGCCACTCATGGGCTTGTCCACTGACAGTGGTTATTGGTACTGATAACTTGAGATGAACTGTCTTCTATCTAGGGCTTTCCAAAGCCTCGTCATCAGGGTCTTTCTGAGAGTGGGGTTGCTTAGCACCAGGATGCTGGCATGCAGGCAAGGCACCCACGTAAGCCACCACTTCCCAGGCCCAGCACCAGTGATTCTGGAAGGCTGAGATTTTCACAGCAACTATCATCAGGGACAGGAAATACAATGTGCAGAAGATGAAGAAGGCACGTGACTTCGGGGCCATCATGTGGGTAGTGGGATCACAGGGGCTGGGCCTATGGTCCCTCATCTGCCCCAAGTGCTGGGGCAGTGAGAACATGAGTAAGAGGGGGAACACCAGGAATAGGAGGGACGGATTAAGGCCACCAGCACTAGATGACGTAGGAAAAAGTGCCAACAAAAGACCTGCATTCTGTCAGCCAGGGTGCCAGTTTCAATGGGAACTCTGGGAGGCAATTATCTGCACCAGACTGTATTCTGGGTGGCTGATGAGATGGCTGTCAGACAGGATAGGATGGGATGGGGGAGCTCAGCAGCAGCCTGAGCACTGATGAAGAAATCCTCCCCTTGAGCCGGAAGAAGAGGTGGAGGAGAATGAGATCTTTGCACAGCAGAAGACAGCAAAGCCGGGCAGTAGGCCAGAAAGTGAGAGTGTTGTTGAAGGCCCAGGGGATGTTGAAATAGCACACTCTGGAACAAAACTCAAGGGAGGCTGTCAGGTTGTTCAGGAGGGCCATCCCATGCAGGCAGAACCGGGTGGCAGCTAGGAAGGCCACAGTCCCATCGCCTGTGGGAAGTGTCTGGTATCGCACTC